TGCTGGGATGGTGTGAGACCTTCTAAGGTTCAACTCAAGATCTTACCGTAATGGTTTTCAGTCTCCAAGAATGTATGGAGTCTGTTGTGTAAGACCACTTGCTGATAACACAGGTCTGTCTGTGTTTTAAACAAACCCTCCTACTCCCTTGAAATAGTTAAGCCTGTTGTACTTCAGCCCTTCGCTGACCTGAAACCCTATGAACCGGCTGGTAGGTATAAACTGGGAGGTCTATACTGTAGTTAGAAACACTGCCTAGTATCTAAAATCATAAATCACCCCACTTCTTTTCTTTTTCCTACTCCTTTTCCTGTGTTAACAGTTCTTTTTCTGTGGCAAGCTTTTCTTTCCCACCTACTGTGTATTAAAGAAACAGGGAATCTTTTTTTAGTCTGATCGTGTTTACTAAAGGGCAGCTGCTGCTTTCAGCTGTTACTGGGCTTTTTTCATTAATTTCTCACTCTGTCTCAAATCTGCTGACAGTCTAAAGATGTTGGCATCTTACTGAATGGTTATATATAAATATACAGGGTGACTTCTGCTTGCTTCGGGGAAAAAATGTGACTGCAGTTTTTGTGAAGGGAAAGGGCTACTCCCTGTTCTTCAGATGCAGCAAACCTGTGCATGCTTAAAAATTATTGCCTCCTCGTCATTTGGTGCATGGTGTAGAAGCTGTAGCTGCTTGTCTAGTAACAGACTAACGTGCGTTAGGAAGTTCTAGGTGTTGGTTTGTGTTTTACTGGATTACCCAGGAGTCAAGTCACAAGAATACTCAACATTTCAGTTCACTGCTTTATCTGCAAAATAAACATTCTCATCATAGCAGAAATTACATGGTGTAATTAAAAAACAAAACAGAACAACCCACCAAGTCCACAACAGTCCAGTGTTAGCTTTAATGGTTATAGACACGTCATTTTCTGTATCCAACTCAGATACTCTAAATGAAAAACCTTTTCCTAATACATTTCACATGTGTCTTCTGTTCACTGCTCCTGTTTGGCCCAGAGTGAGTGATGAGAAGGTAAAGTTTCATCCTTGCTTATGCTGTTCTATACTTAGTTTTGTGGGTTTAGGGGAAACAATTTTAGGTCATCAGCAGTTGTTTTTCTGTTTACAGAAATAATCCTTATCCACTAATTACATATTTATACTGAGAAACGGGTCAGAAAACGCTTAAGAATAGAAGTATGCTAGGAAAGAGAATTTGTGCGGCAGGAAGAAATCATACATGTGTGCAACAGTCCTTCCCCGCTGTCTCAGCAAATTCAGATTAGCTGACACAGTTGCCTATAGGCCTGTGCAGGAGACGTGAGTATCTAAGTCACCAGGCTGAGAGAGGATGGGGCCTCTGCTCAAAGCAGGGTCACCTAGAGCTGGTTGCTCAGGGCCATGTCCGGGCAGTTTGTCTGTCTACAAGGGTGGAGGCTCTGGGCAACCTGTGCTAGGATGTGGCCCCCCGCACAATAAAAGACTTCTTAAGTTCAGAAGAAACCCCACAATCTTCAAAATATTCCAAGCCACATTAACTTAATTCAGCAGCAACTTGATCCTTGCTGCTCTGATACAAATTGAAGAGCCGTAAAACCTGACTCAATTGATGCCTTAATTAATTGCTGGAGGTTTGCAAGAGATGTGGTTACGGTTTGCCCAGTGGCATGCTTCTTAATCTGGAAAAATTCCAGCTGTGGTTAATAAACATTTGCCAGGATAGAGCCTCCATTGTTTATTTTAATAATTTGAAATAATTATATGTTTATTTACATTGCACAGGTTTGTTTTTTTTTTTCTCTCTCCTTTTTCTTTTTTTAACTTAATGTTTGCTATTCTTTGTGTACTCAGCACCCAGGTCTGTGTGCTGAGGGAGCCAGGATCAGGGGATGCAGGAATGTGTGCATTCTTCACTTCTAGATACTTGCACAGAAGTATCCCTGGCTGTCTTTAAGGCAGGCCACTGGAACAGGTTGCCCAGAGAAGCTGTGGATGCCCCATCCCTGGAAGTGTTCAAGGCCAGGCTGGATGAGGCTTTGAGCAACCTGGTCTAGTGGAAGGTGTCCCTGTCTATGGCAGGGGAGTTGGAACTAGATGATCTTTAAGGTCCCTTCCAACCCAAACCATTCTGTGATTCTAAAAGGCCTGGAATGGTACAGGTGGATGGCAAGAGCATGGTGACACTTGTTGCCTGGGTGAGGGCTGACGCTTCTGGCTTTGACGATATGAGCATTTTCCAGGAAATCACCGCATTCCTTCGCTGTCACCTCTGAAGCCTCAGTAAAAGCGGAGATGGGATCGCAGGTCTCTGTGTGTATTCTGGGCAACTCAGATGTAAAATCGCCTATGGCTGCTGAGTCCAGACACTCCCACAAGAGCAAAATGTGTTTAGGGGAAAATACTGAAGCAGTTGCAGCTTGAAATTTGGGTAGAATGAAGTTTTATATTTCACTGTCGCCCTGATACGTGATTAAAAAAATGCTTCTTTGAAGGACCATTAGGTAAATAAAACTGAGGTGAGCCTTGAGCCACTGTGGAGCAAATCCGTATTATTTGTGGTAATAAAGATAGGTTATACCCTTATGTTCTTTTGGTATATGATTAAAAAGTTAGGCCCAACACTGCCAGAGCCCAAGATTTTCCGGCTGGTCTGCGACATAGCTGAGAACAGACATAGGAAGTCATGACCCTGCTTTTACTCCTCCACCATTGTCTTTGCTGGGTGATTTGCTGGTGACTCATGCCTTGCACTCAAGGGTGAAGTAATGCTTCCTGAGTCGTCTTATTTATGTTGTAATCTGTTACTTATTGTCTTAAATCCACTAGCTGTATGTGTGTGTTATCTATCTATACATCCATACCTATATATCTCTGTTTTCTGGTCTGTACAAAGAATCCTACTGAGACCTTCATGAGCACACAGAATAGTGAAATTCAGTTTTCACTGTTTGGCCTTTTTCGCCCTCAAAGTCCTTTGCTATTTCCTGTTGGTTTATCCTCCATTACTGCATTATGATTAAGGGTTAGATGATAGAAATGTCTGGAATAGACAGAGGTCATGCCCTCGAAGCATTCTTTAGGTTTAAGGTTGCCTTTTCTTATGGTGGAGATGATTCTTTGGGCCGCTTGCTGTTTGTCTGCTACTCCCAGACTTGTTCTGTACTGTCTGCAACCTGATACTTTTAAGTAAACAAGCTCCAATCGATGTTTGACAGAGGAAATTTATTTTGTCAGGAAACTGGCACACTTGGCATGGATTTTTCTCAAAGTAATTTGGGGGAATTAAAGAGTTGGCAGAATTATCTGTTGTAATCATAGATGGTGGCTCTGCGTTTGTTGTTACGGCAGCAGCACATGCTGCAGAAGAACCTTAACCTCCCAGGCCAGTCAAAGCAGTGGGATGTGACCAAGCATTGGCCTTGAGGCAGCTTAACGGATCACATATACACGTTCCTATCTTGCAAATATATCAGAAACGGTGACTGTTCACTATTACTTAAAATATATTGGATGGCGGTTTGGGGTTTGCTTATAATTATAACATCTAAGGGCTGTGGCAGACTGCTCTCTCATACAGATGCCCTGCAAGTGGTTCTGTAATGTGGAAGTAGTATTACTTGACTGTGTCATCTCAGATAGTAGAATAAAGATGAATAACTAAAATAACAAGTATGTTTCTTTAAAAAACACATCTGCTTACAGTTAAAAAAACCCAAACCCAAACACTAAACTACCATATAACATTGTAATACGCTGTTATGTGAAAGCAAATTTGCAGGAGACTCATTAATCTACGTGACATGAATGGTTGAATAAGAGAAGGGTATGAAAAATAACAGAGATTAAATAACTTTCTCAATTAATTAGTCTGTGGATTCTTTTACTTCAGAAACATATTTTTATCTTTCATTTTGAGTTTGAATCTGTCACGTTACACTGGTTCCTTCAGGTGCATAAGTTTTACTGAATACACCCAGCATTGCAAGAGATGAAGCTCTTCTGACAAAGTGTTGTTGATAATGAACTCCTGGCAGGGATGCAAATGAGAAATTCATCGAGTCAGTGTTTAACTTTTATAATGTGTGAATTGGACAAATACAACTGGTCTTTCAGAAAACAAAACCAAACTAGCCATTCCAGAAAAATATTAATGTTGTGTATTTTTTTTCCCCCTCCTGTAGGTGCCTGAGATTATAAGCTCTATTCGACAAGCTGGAAAAATTGCTCGTCAAGAAGAGTTTCAGAATAATCTCTCTGACGTCGAAGACCCTTTTGCCAAAAAGTTTGAGGTGCTGTTCTGTGGACGGGTGACAGTAGCACACAAAAACGCACCTCCAGCGCTCATAGATGAATGCATTGAGAAATTTAATCATGCAAGCTGTACAAAAAAGTCAGATTTCAACACATTGTCCCAACAACATGAAACTGCCAATAACTTCGGAGGCTTCTCTTTCAGCAGCAAATTTCGATCTGTTTTCCAGCCCCTGGTCAGTGAAGAGGAGGAGAAAAGGCCAATTAGAAAATCCTTTTCTCAGCCTGGCCTTCGTTCCTTTGCTTTTAAGAAGGATTTTCAAGAGGGAAACCACAGGAGTAACAGCTTTATCAGGTCTTTTGAAGAAGATGCAATTTCACTGAACCTAAAAAGTCAACTTATCTATGGACACAGTGTTGTGCAGCCAACAGACATGGCAGAAAACCGGACGATGTTGTTTACGGTAAAGCAAGATTTACAGCTCTTGGTGGCATTTCCACATCTTGGAGATTGGAGTAGCAAACACCAAAGCAGATGTTCTGACAGATGGCAGTTACTAATTTAGCAGAGCTTAATTTAAACTCTCCTATTTCTCTAGAAAGCATTACCAGTCAGTGTAAATTGTTTTAGATAATCAAAAAAGTTTATATTAAATAGTTTAAAACCGCACTACCTAAAACATTGGAATCCTGAAGACAGCTTTTGGAAAGCTACAGTGAGTTAGTAGGTAGTTATACAATTGCAAAATTGTACCTACAATTATACTGGCTACTAACAGCAGAAATAAATTTCCAGGTGAATGAGCTACCTCCAACTAGCGCAGAAGGACCAAACCATGGCTGGGGTTAGTAGACTTTGTCCCATGATAAGCAGCATAATTCATGGTGTCCTGCTGCCAACATTTGTCTAACAATGGAGTAGTGTAGTAATTTCCTAGGCTACTCCACACCTGCCTCTCCTCCTGTTCTGCTTCTGTGTTGGTAGCAATGCCTTTGTCTCGATAGGTGAGCAGCAGAAGTATTTTTCAAGACCTGAGAAACAAGTAAGGAATATGTTATTTGCTCCTTTCATGTTTATGATGGAAAGGTTATGTAATAAATTTTATATATGTTATGAACATAATGCAAACCTGGAGCTGATACTGTGACGGCTGGCTCTCATATGGTCATAGAATCATAGAATGGTTTGGATTGGAAGGGACCTTAAAGACCATCTAGTTCCAACCCCCCTGCCATGGGCAGGGACACCTTCCACTAGACCAGGTTGCTCAAAGCCTCATCCAGCCTGGCCTTGAACACTTCCAGGGATGGGGCATCCACAGCTTCTCTGGGCAACCTGTTCCAGTGCTTCACCACCTTCTCCATGAAGAACTTCTTCCTGATATCCAATCTAAACCTCCCCACTTTCAATTTAAACCCGTTCCCCCTTGCCCTGTCACTACAGGCCCTTGTAAAAAGTCCCCCCCAGCTTCCGTGTAGCCCCTTCAGGTACTGGAAGGGGCAATAAGGTCTCCCCGGAGCCTTCTCTTCTCCAGGCTGAACAAGCCCCAGTCTCTCAGCCTTTCATCACAGGAGAGGTGCTCTGGCCCTCTGAGCATTTTCATGGCCTCCTCTGGACTAGTTCCAACAAGGTCATCTTGGATCTGTCAGCTGCTGTTAGGGCTGGGAGTTTTTGAGGATGGTAACTGAGTAGAATGGGTGCAGTTACAGTAGGTTTTTTGGAGGGGAGAAAGAGAAGTGCTGCTTTAAGAAGGATTGCCGAAGTGTTGTGGCTGTAAAAAGGAACACACAGAAAGAGGTGTAGTTAGCTCTACCTGATTTAAAACTTCTGTTGATTGTGGAAGGCTGGCATCAGGGAGGGAAGTGGAAGAAAGTGGAGAGAATTTTTGTGTTTCAGAAAAAACAATTCCATATTTATCTTCCCCTGAGAACGTATTTCCCACAGAAAATATAGACAACCTTTATAATAATGCCTAACTTTTAAACAAATCCTGACTATTACTAATCCATGGCACATATTTTGGAGATAGCAAGATTATAAATGGGCTGCTTAGGTCCAGATGCTCTTACCCCAGTGAGTGGATTTTTAGTTTATATGAAATAGATGCAGCAGTTCTCAAAGACACACACAGCTTCAGCTTGATGTAATGCTGGTCACCTGCCACCCTGCTCATTTCCAGACTGTGGGGCTCTGCTGATCTCACTTTTATCTTGGGTTGCTTTTTGCCTGGGAAAATACTTTTTAGTATGCGCAGTTGTATTTTTTTGCCATTCAGCCAGTTTAAATTCAGCTGAATACAAGGAAGTGGAGTAACTGTGGTTTGTGCCTCCAGTATCCGCAAGCTCGCAGCTCGTGGCAGAGCCGAGGTTTTTGGGTTAGCCGTCCCTGGTGTTTGGCAGGTTCCGAGTAACAGTATGCACGCAGCGTGCGCAGGTCTTCACCTTTGCTCATCAGTCTGTGTGTGCCTGCGTGTGAAACTCATAAAATTAACTTGATATCCAGAGGAAAAAAATTGTATTTTCTCTGTTCAAGTTCTTACTTGGGTTTTCCCGAGGACTGCAGCAGAGGTTGGTTGGTGCATGAGGTGTGAAAAGTGTTCAGATGAATTATAGAATGAATTATTCACCTGGTTCAGACACTCCTGATTTTGGTAGCTCTTCCTGAAGAACTGCTTTCCTAGCCATTTTGTTATGATATTTTTTTTATTTAGTTTTAGGCTTTTCTCCTGAATGTATTTTTGGGGAGGGGGATGGAGTATGTTGTTTAGGTTTTGGTTTTTTTTGTTTTTCCCTTGTTCGGTTGGCTCCAATGATCCCTGCTGCCCTGGGACCTAGTGTGAAGGGAGTAAGTGGGACTGAGCAAAGAAGGAGCCTCTCGCTGCAGGGAGGGGAAGGCAGCAGCAAGCAGGAAGAGGTATCGGAAGGAATAAACCTGTGAACACATGTGAGGTCAGCCCCAGGGACAATACAAGGAAACCAGCAGGGAGTTGGGGAAAATCATTGTGTGGTTGAGGTGGAAGGTGAATGCACAGGACCATTTTTAGACATGCAGAGGTGGCACATCTCAATTGATCCATTTACACATAAAATTCCCCCCTTTCCCCTTCCTTAAGAAATTACAGGTATATTGGTGCTGCTGATGTTTTTGTGTGCGTTTTTGAGGATTTGGCAGTGGTTGAAGCTTCAGCAGGTTTGTCTAAGTCATGCTGATGAATGGATCCAGATTCCACTCATTTTACCTAAAATTTCATATGGGACTTGTCATCTCATAATCAAAGCAGACTTTCTGATGTGGTAGAAACTATGAGGAATTTAAATTTAATCTGTTAAAAAGATGTTGCCAGAAGCTGAAAAAATGAAAACAAGTTTCACCTTAAAACTGCCCTTTGCCCATGAAAAGTTAGCATTAGGTTTTGGGTCAATGCTCTACAAATTGCCTACAGATTAAATTAAGTTAGGAAATACACTCCAGTAAGCACATTTTTATAGTTGGAGTTAAAATCTTTAAATTAAATGCTATGTGTGTCTTAAATAAAATCCTGAAAATTAAATTGCCCTAAAATTTAAATCCAAGTGTGTGCCTCTACCTGTATTCTACCTAATTATTTAAGTAGCTTTTGGGAATGTGGCATATTCCAAGCCTGTAGAAAATAAGGAAAGGGGGTGTTACTATATTAGTGCAAAATAAGTTACTTGTGTTACAGTGTTACTCTCATCTAATTAAACACTGTTCTCAATCTCTTGTCTCAAATATGAAACTAAATCTCAGTTCAGTAATGTGCAGAACTCTGCCAAATTGGTGTTGTTTCAGGGTGCTCTCTTTCTCTGGTAATAATACACGAATTGGTCTAAAAATAGAGGTAGAAAAAAATTTGAGATCTGTGTCCAGGAAACATGGGAATGTAATGTTACTTGTTATCATCTTGCTATTTATTTTGCTCTTTTTAGATTGGCCAGTCTGAAGTTTACCTTATCAGTCCTGACACAAAAAAAGTAGCAATTGAAAAAAGCTTTAAGGAAATATCCTTTTGTTCTCAGGTAAGATTGCAGTGCATTCCTTCTCTTTTTTTTTGTTTGTTTGTTTGTTTGTTTTAATATTCTCTGCTTGTGACTGCTGGTGTGCCTCTCTCTCCTAGCATTTCAAATGGATTCTCACCCCAAAAGTTTCAGTAATTGCTATTGACAAGTTGCTAGTTAATTATTAATTTTGTAAAACCATCATTCTTTTCACATGCTTTGCATAGTAATTTCTGAGATAAAGACTTACTTCTGTGTGCAGTGGATGAATAATATGAGGTAGAAGGAACAGCCTGGTCAGCTCTGGTTTGAAACTTCAGTAGGTGTGATTCAGAGTTGTGCAAATCTGGGATTCTCTGAGCCATATTTTTCAAGAAGTGATAATGAAAGGAGATAAAAATACATGAGTTCTCTAAAAAATACTTCAAAAGTTGGTGGTTTTTTTTTTTCCGAGAATGTAGTGTGTAAAAGAAGACAACCCACTGCCATGCAGAAGCAGTGTGTGTGATGCACTGAGAGCAAGCATCTTTCAGAACCTCCTCATTCGCTATTAGTCCTTGTTTCTTAGGCCACAGAGTTTGCTTCCCTGTCCTGCCTCTCTTTTTTTGCGGTTCTGACATCGATTTGTCATGGGTTATGTGAGGGTACAGTTTTATCTCATGACCTGACTTTGAGCGGTGATGTTTTGGAAGAGGTGCAACTTACACACATGAGGATGAAGGATGGCACTGCGTGGGTCACGTGGGCGTGATTCACGCTCAGCTACTGCCGTGGCTCGGCGCTGTGAGGGCAGAATGGTTGCTGTCACATCAAGGACGTGGGACAGCGTGGGCAATTGCAGCACTCCTGTGTGAGCAGCTGCACAGGAGCAGACGACACACCTTTGAGTGTTGCTCAAATCCACCTGCAGACTGAAACTGCTGTTTGTAAAGACATTTCATAGACCCATTGCCTTTGTGAACTAACCAGTGTCATGAGGCAGGGATTTGTCTTGCCCTAGCCATTTTCTGTCCTGCAGGGCGTTATTTGTATTTAGTTTGTCTGTGTACCAGATTTGATTCAGTTTAAGTGAATGGGGAAGTTGAATTTAATTCATTAAACTGGGATAGAGTCCTTAGACAACACTTAATTCCTTTAAAACCTGTTATAGATCATTTTAGCTTAAACCTCTGAGAAATTAACCTGAACTGTAATGATATACATAAACTTATATTTGTTGAGGAACGGATGTTCCTGCTAGTTTAACTGACAATGCACCTTGAATTAACCCAGTGAAATGTCTCTTTGTACTGGGAGGCTTGCGTAGGAATAAGGTCTACTTACTACACCAGGTTGTGAATTTTGCCACTACCTTGCACTAGGAACTTTTTCTTTTGGCTTGCTTGCATAGTGCAAGTCTACCAGTGTATCACAGGCTTTGGCCTTAATGGGGCAGGACTATTTTTCCCCAATAGATTTTTTTTTTTTACCCATTTTTAATTAGAATGAATATGATTTGCTGTTGTTTGCTTTTAACTTTTTTGATCCACCACCACCACCCCCCCCCAAATGACTTTTTAATGTGATGAGGAGAGCTTTTATCACTAAACATACAGGTAGCCATTCTGAAAATGTCATAGTATACATAAGTAGTTTGCATGATTTTAGGTCAAGAGCTTTGAAGAGAACTCCTGGATCGCAAAAAAAATCTCTTTCTGCCCATGTTCCCTTAGTCAGGAGTTAGTTAGGTAGACTTTGTGACTTGTCCTGACGGTCGGCAGACAGTTGTGCTCCTCAGAGCAGTAGAAGTGAGAATCTAATGGAATTCTCCTCTCCTGTCTGAAGAATGTGTTGCTGGGCAGATGTTACGTCAGTTGGGCAAATACTGGTACTGGGGTTACAGAAGGCTTTGCCCCCAAGCATGCACATTTCAGAGAAGTTGACAGAACGATCTTATGGACTCATCTTGAGCATACAAGAACTTTAATAATCCCCTCTTGAAAGCACTAGAGGTAAATTATAAGGGAGATTAGAATCAGTACTTAATTTCCAGAGGGCCCAATCCATCAGTCAGTTACTACAGTGGCAGAAAGAAGTATGTGGTCCTGGGGCAGTGTCAGAGTGGCTAGTCTGAAACAGCTAAGAGGGTTCACCAGCTCCTGGTACCTTGCAGTTTTGTGGTCAGGGCCGTGATCCCATCTGGGCTCGCTCCACCATCACAGTTGGGTTTTCAGGAGAAGAAATGGGTTTTCAGCAGAAGAAACACAAGCTAGGGATGTTAGAGAGGGGGCTCAGCATCTTCTATGCACATCTGTGTGTGGATAAAGAGGGATAAGCCTGTATCAGCCTGTTCTTGCTTTATTGCATAGCTACCTCCTAAAATGCTTAGCCTGGACATTCAATGGACCTGGAGTTGGAGAAGCTGCAGGCTTTACATCATTTGAATGTTCTGATCATTTTGTTCTCAGGGCATATTAGTTTGTGATGTTTGTGTAATAAAGCTTTTGTTACCGATGTGTAACTGTCATACTCCAACAAACAAGGTACCTCCATATACATTAAATGCTGTCCTGCATTCAGCTGGCGTGCTCTGAAGGTTTATTGTTGGTGTTTCAGACAATAAGACAGCATTGTTTGGATTGCTTAAAGATCTCTGATGCTGGCCATTCTGTTTTATACAGTATTCACTTCTTATGCTTTTTAAATGGGTGATTTTTTAATATTTTTTTCATGATAAAAAGACATAGAGAATATTTAATTTTTTTTTTCCTGAGTTAACAAGGAAAAGCAAAAAAAATACCAAAACAACCAAAAACCCCACAAAAATCCTGCTTGGCATCTTCATATTGTTAAAATTTCACTAAAATTTCCGATTTACTGTGATTCATCATTATGATTTCTGATACAACAGTTTATTGCATCTCTTTACACAACTTTGTTGTGCCATGGCAGCTAGAAGGTAATAAAATGGTGCTGAGTGTAACTGATTTTCTATTAACAGGCTCTACCACTGTGCACATAATTCATCATCATAAGTTTTGGGATTTTTTTTCTTTTTAATCCAAGAATGATGCACTGAGGAGATGTGTACTGGGATCACCTAACTCTACTCATCTGAAAGCCTTTTCATAAAAGAAAAAAGTTCCCAGCCATTGAAAAACCTTCTTAGTATTTTGCCAGGATGTGATGTTTATCTACTGTTGCAAGCAGATTGTACCCTAATTTGCATGCCTTTTAGGAGAAATGCTTCCTTGAGTGATCTTTAAGTAACATACTTAACCATTTTTTTTATTTCTTCAGTAGCTAAGCTTTTTTTTATATGGTAAAAAAAATTTGTTTATCCATTTTTCATTGTTGCTTTGATTTACTTTTACAAATGTAAAACAGTTGTTGACTGCTTAGGCAGAAGAGAAGAAAAGCAGAGTAAGCTTTTTCTCCTGCTATTTCCAATATTGAGCAAAATACATCTTGAGTAGTATTTCTTCATTCCTGTAAGTGTGTTCCAGTGGATCTATTAAAATTCAGTCATTAAAAAACAAAACAAAGTACCACAAAACCACCAAACAACCTCTGACTTAAGGGTAATTTAAGATTCATGAAGTAATAGGTTCTGTAACAGGATGGATCTTTAATGGCCAGTTGACTTTAATGTAGCTGAACAGAGATATGTGACCTATCTAATGCTGTTGGGCATTTCATGCTTTTGTTACTGTAAAACTACAGGTACAAAACATCAAAAGTAAATATGACTGCTTCTTTGCTGTTCTTGTTCTAGGGAATTAGACACGTGGATCACTTTGGGTTCATCTGCAGAGAGTCTTCAGAAAATGGAGGCTTCCACTTTGTTTGCTATGTGTTTCAGTGTACAGATGAAGCACTGGTAAGTGGCAGAAAAGAAGAGCCTAATTGACTGTTAGTCCCAAAGAGTCTTCTATTGCTCCATGCCCTGTATTTTGCTGAAAGTCTTCAAATGCTGCTCCACTCAGAAATATGGTTTCAAAAATCTAACTAGCATAACAATCTGCAAAAGAATCTTTTGAATTGTTTTGAAAGCGTAAGTTAAAATCCCCCTTAAAATCCTGTAAAACTTCCTTTCATTGCACAAACTAAGACAAGTGCAGTAAGTCAGTGTTTGGGTTTTTTCTTTATCACAGTCAAGAAAAGGTTTCTAGATAGAGGTAGTATCTTTTATATTAGACCACAGTAATAAAATTGGGTGGCCTGGAAATAGCTAGGACTTCACAATGAGTTTTGTCTTGCTTTTGTGCTTCTGCACAGAGGTGGCACAGGAACAGCTTTTCTTCTGAATCATAGATTCGTTGAATGAATCATAAACACATTTCCAAACAAGGAGCAGTATCATTCTAAAAGACTGGTGTGTTTTATGTTAAAAAAACCAGAAGGTCAGGGGAGGAGTGAAATTTTGTTCTTTTGCACTCTATTCTTTTTCAGGTGGATGAAATCATGATGACATTGAAACAGGCTTTCACAGTAGCTGCTGTGCAACAGACTTCCAAGGCACAGCCCCAGCTCTGTGAAGGGTGTCCTATGCAAAGCTTGCATAAACTCTGTGAAAAGATAGAAGGTGAGGTTTAAAGAACTTTCTGGTTTAATATTTTCCCTGACAGTTTTATTGGGGGACAATCTTACATGTAAAAATCTAAGGGAATGCTTCTTTAAAAAGAACTTGGGATGAAGGGTTGAAAGGGTTTTATTTAGAGGACTGCAGCATAAAGTTATCTGTAAGGTACTAAGAATTTTCTAACAAAAGTTAAGCTCCTTCCTTGTATTTCACTTGAATTTCTGAAAAGTAATTAAGAGTCTGAATATTACTGAATTGCAGCTAGCTTGGCTTTATTAGCCATATATGCACCAGGAGATTGTTGACAGGGAACTTTTCAAGAATATATGTTGCAATAGCTATGACCTGCTGTCCTGTTGAATACACTTAGATACTGGCATTACACTACCAGTAAACATGAACCAAACTGAGCTTTTAATATACATGTTTGTGTTGATCTATGCTTCATCATGAAAGTGCAGCAGTTAGAATTGTAGTTGTTGCCCAGAAAGCAAGTTCAAGAAGAAAACCGATCTCTCTGTGTTTCAGCAAATTTCACAGTTGGGTTTTGTTCATTTAAGTGATGTCTGGGTTGAATAAAAGGGCAACAGCAGCTCGTCGGATCACGTGACAGTAGCATGTTGGACTAAAAACCTATCTAGTATTAATTTGATGAAACTGGAGAACTTCCAAAACTACTTTTCACTCTGTTTTGGTCTTCAGCTAGCTATGATTTGTGAGAAATTTCTTAAAGGCAAATGATTCTTAGTGCTTTAAATTGTGTCATCTGGTTAATCATACTGTCTGCTTCTGAAGGAGAAATGCCATGATCAGAAACTGCAGTACAAAATACTGTTGATAGTTTGCTGGTTTTCCACAGAAAAGAAAGGAATTTAATCCAGGATGAGAGCAGAAAAAAATAATCTGAATGAGAGGGTAGTCTGCTTTAGACTGGCAGTAAATGTTTTCAGCAAGAGGCAAAGCAAAAACTTCACTAATGTAATTAAATTTACTGTTTTTAGAAGATGCCAAGGCATACAAATGAAATGAAAATCATATTTATACCACAAGCAAAATCCAAGCATAAAACATCAACAAAGCAGTCTGCTAAAATGCAGTAGACTGTGGGTTTATTTTATCTTGTGTGATAATGGAATCTTCAGCTAAGAGTATAATCCTGGTCTGTGCTCAGTAAATCTCCTCGTTGCAGAGTTCATGTCCCTCATTTTAAAGACATGAGTTCAGTAGTAGCTTTGAATTAACCTAGAGTTCTTTCTAATGTCCTGTTATGAAATCAGTGCAATAGGTCAGCTCAAATGACTGATGAGCTTTGGCTGAAACTGTGTGCGTATTTATGTGATAGATGAATTCTGACAAATTTGACCATGTGATTTGTTCTTTTTTTCTGTTCCTCCTGCTAGGGTTACACCCTTCTAAGACTAAACTAGAACTACAAAAGCATCTAACAACACTAAATGGCCAGGAGCAAGCATCTGTTTTTGAAGAGGTTAAGGTAAGCCCTTTGTTTCCTACAAGATTTTAAGGCAATTGAGTTTTTTTGTGAACATCAGTGTGAAACATCAAAATTATTTTTCTTTTTTTTTGTGAATTATTCATTATCTTTATTTAATTGATTCTCAGTCACCTTGTGCTTTAATTTCAATATAATTATTTTTCAAGAGCTGTTAAAAACCTCTTTTTTTTTTTCTGAAAATGGCTTATTTTACTCAGTTTTCTTCCCCTAATCCTACTTTTTTCCCTCCAAATGTTGACTTCTCACTGAGTGAAACTGCACATGCTTTTGTGTAACTTGTACTGTGAAGCTATTCAGCTGTTAATTTGACCGAAATAAATTATTGGAACATCCCCAGATCAGAAAATTTCCTGCCTAAAATTTATCCTAGATCTTAGTACTTGTTAAACTAACTAAAAGTTTATCTTCTGACCATTTTAACAGAGAGGAAAGCATAACTGGGTTTAAGACACATGATGGACATTGTAAGAAACGTCATTGGCTTGGCACACTGTTGAAGATTAGGAAATTTCAGACTTTTTTTTAAAAAAAAGGTGTTTCCTTCCTCTCTTGAGTCATTTCAGTCTCTTTGTGTGGTTCCATGTGGCAGTTTATCACCCAGTACCAAATTTGGAAGTTACTCGGTGGGAGCAATTCCTTGAGCTAAGTAATTTCTTAGTATACAGTAGCTAGCTGGCACTGTTGCCTTTTAGTATTCTGCACACATTTTAACTGTCTAAAGCATTTAGTAGTCACAGGAAACTGCTAATTGCTTCTGGTGAGAGGCTGCAAATGATGGAACTTGGTAAAACCATCTGTAAAGTACATCTCTCCTGCCTGTCTTTTTCAGATGATTTTTTTTTTTTGAGTTGAACTGCCTCAAAATCTTCATTGTCACATTCTTACAGCTCCACTTGTTGAACCATGATTTATATTTTTAGATAACCTACCTTTCTAAGGATGTGCTACCCTGGCTTTAGGTAATTCATACTGTATCTTCTGCATTACATCAATAGGCTTAAAACAGCGTAAGCTTTTCGAAAGTTAGGTTTCTGGTATTAAATTCTGTAATAAATTGTTTTAAAGCATTTTCTCTTACAGTAATTCAGATCTAAATTGAATGCAGCAGGATCAAATATGTTCACCTTGTGCACTAATTTTTAAAATACCTCTGTCATTTCCCAAAAATGAAATGTCCATTGAGAAGGATTTCTAGGAGAAGGATTTCTAGTACATCATAACTGCACGACAGTGCTTCGTGTGTGCTGCAGACTCAGAACTACAGTGTTTTCGTTTTCTTTTCATCAAAAGCAAATCGACAAAAGTATTTGCTTGTGGCATTTTGATGTCTCTACAGTTGTCCTTTATCTCGTGTAAATTCTGTCACCTACAAAGGGAGATCAAGTGTTTCTGGCTGTGCTGCTGCTTTGCCTGGGACACTGGTGTCCTCTGGTGGAGTGGAGTGGTAGCATTAACCAAGTTAAACTTGTTCTTACACTAACAACGTATTGACAGTGACAAAGAGAGTAAATATTTGCTAAACTGTTGTACAAATGTGTAACTTCTGTGCTTGTGGTGTTTTTAATTAAAGAAATTAAGACCAAGAAATGATCAAAAAGAGAATGAGTTGGTTATCTCTGTTTTGAGAAACATGTATGAAGAGAAACAGAAGGACCATGTCCATGTTGGAGAAGCCAAACAGGTAAGTAATCACTCAGTTTCAGTTCATGTAAGGAGATTGCAGGAATTTAAACTGTTAAACAGTACAGTTAAGGTTTCTCAAAAGGCATTAATGATTTTGGATGCCTTGGTTAGTGACTAACTATTTTGAGACACGATCAGGAGGTCTGTGTTTAAAAAAGGATCAGCAGCTATTCTCTGGAAACTTTCAGTTCCAATGATTTGACCCTTTAAAAAATCTTGGCTGTCCCACCACTGCTGGCTGGTAATTCCTTTCTGATGGCTGCTGTTTGCCATTTGTGATACAAACTAGCAAAGGAATATATGGAGAGTAATTGGACCCCTGAATAAAATGGGGAAATAGCATCAAGTCTTCATTTATTAATAAACTGAACAAATAATCTCATCTCCTTTTATGGCTTACTGCCTAATTACTGACCTCCCTGAGAAAGCAAAAAGAAAACTTTGCATGTTTTGTTCTCTGACTTCTTGTCTTGAGCATCTCACCAGAAATAAGTTTGTAAGAAAAAAGCATTGTAGTTATGGCATGACAGGAAGAAACATTGCCTGAGGTCCTCTGTCATCATACCTGAAATATTTTTGTTTGGTCTAATGCCAGACGATCATCAAATAGTTGTCAGTCATAAATGGCTTGGAAACGGAGATGTATGAAGCAACATAACACCTTAATGTCTTAATTTTAATAATATCTGCATCTTCAGTGTGATCTGAAAATTCCTAAGGCCTGCTGCAGTCTGCTTAGTTTCTGGAACCCATATTGGTTGATCTGACACTTAGGAAGTTGCCAGTGCTCTAAGAACAGAGTTGACTTGCCCTCAGGCCATCATTTGTCTTAGCATAACTTTTTATATTTACTCTGATACTTTATCTCCAGAGCTGTGTAATAGGAGATACCTTTGAACGTGTACTCTGGCAGTGTTGTCTCAGCAATCATTAACCAGTTACATCCTAATGTCCCTGTTCCCTTCTTTTAAAAAGTATATTTAAATCAGGGGAGGGGAAAAAAACGAAATGTGAGTGAATGTAGTACATGGATCTTATTTGACCAAAATTGCCTTCAAAAGAAGTGTCTTCTCATAAGAATGTAATAGCAGGCAGCATCTGATTTGCCCTTTGAGGATGAGGGAAGGTAAAAAGAAAATACAGAAGCCGGTTACTTTGTCGTACTGGAAAACTTTAAATGCTTTAAAACTATATCTAGACAGGACTGTTTGGTGGCAGTAATGATGTGCTGTTCAGCTGCCCACCTACTAATAGTTACATGGATCAAGCATGCAGGGATCTGAAATTAGGGCAGGGAGAGAGGGCTATGGTGCCTGGCAGCCTCAAGATGAATCCCAAAAACAACAATGAAAGCTCTGTTCTGGTTTCCACTGCAGGTGTTGCGGTTTGGATGGTAATATACACGTCGTAGGGTCACTTTTGCATTTGCTGCATTAGTCTTTGCAAGCGCTAAAACCAGACTGAAATACTTAATTAAAAAGCAAAACTCGTAATGGACTGTTAGCTTTAAGGTGGAAGTGTTTCTACTGTTGAAATATATAGAAGAGTTAGTTTGTTATACAACTTCCTGGCCCTTAGAAAGCCCCATTTTAATATAACAGAGGCACTTGAGAGTTCTTGTTAATGATGAGCCTCATCAATTTTGATTACTTTCTTGTCTGAAGGGAAGTGAATTCATGAGAAATCTCTAATCTGTTACACTTAAACATCTGTAATTTGTGCAATTGTATTTTGGCATTAATCTGTCAATACAGCTATAAATCCCTATCAAACTGGCAGTTCTTCTGAAGCATGCTACTACACTCAACACATTTTCTGTAAGAGATTTCCTGGTCTTAGGTTAGGTTAGTCTGTTAAACTTCGGTATGTGAGTAGAGAAAGGTGTGAAAAGCCAAGGACACCAGGAGAAGGTATTGATTCAGGTTACAGAAGTCTTCAGACTGTTTACGAGATTCTGTTCCCTGCTGTTGAGTATTTCACACTTATGTTTTTAAACACTTGCAGAGCTCACAGCCCCCTGCTGAGAATGCTGTAAATGAGGTGCCCAGCAGTGCTCCAAGATTCAGATTAGATATGTTAAAGAACAAAGCAAAAAGATCTTTGACAGAATCATTTGAAAGTATTTTATCACGTGTAAGTATCTTCATGTTTATTTCTTCTGAACATAATTTGGTTGTTTTATTTATTTGAATGATAGAAAACTCATGTTTGTTATCCCTCCAGGTTGTAGCCAAGTGGTTATAAAAGGCACAGCGACAAAAATACTGGAGTGTACCTGTTAGAAGGACACAAAACAAATCAAGGCTTTGGTGGAGAGAATCATAGAATCATGGAATGGTTTGGGTTGGAAGGGACCTTAAAGACCATCTAGTTCCACCCCCCCTGCCATGGGCAGGGACACCTTCCACTAGACCAGGTTGCTCAAAGCCTCATCCAGCCTGGCCTTGAACACTTCCAGGGATGGGGCATCCACAGCTTCTCTGGGCAACCTGTGCCAGGGCCTCACCACCCTCTCTGGGAAGAACTTCTTCCTGATATCCAATCTAAACCTCCCCACTTTCAATTTAAACCCGTTACCCCTTGTCCTGTCACTACAGACCCCAGTACAGAATACCAAGCCCTGGAAGAAATTAACTAATTACTCAAAAAGAAGTAGTGTATATAGGCATTTAAAAAAATTAATATGAAGTTGAGCATGAAAACTTAGGAAAAGCAGTCATTGTTTTATTTGTCCTTTGGATGTAGAAAATTAAAAAAGTAATTATAATCGTTCACTTCTCTTTATATAGAAGGAAATGATTGGGGAACGGACTAAGCATTCCTAATGAGATAGTATTTATTAGTAACACAGAACTGATGAATAATGGGGTGTTTGAACTTCTAAATGCTAGAGATTATTTGAAGGCGAGGAGTGTGAAGAGCTTTAGAAGGTACTGAGAATATTAAGGAGTTTAAGCAATATCACATCAGGTAAAATTCTGGCAATATCTGTTAGTTGGAAAAACTTGAGCTACTGTGTGATAGTGATCACCAAGAAAACATGTTGGGGAAATGTTTATCATGAACAGAAGTCTGAAAGTATACAGCAGTGGTTAAGAAAACAAACCACATGTCAAGTTTAAGCACTACTTAAACCTACGGAGTGTTTTCTCATTCAAATAGTCTTTGTTCTGCACCTCACGGAAAAAGCATGAGGAAAATAATAGGAGACTTTTGAAAGATTTCTGCTTGACAAAGGATTAAAAAAATCAGACCTTCTCCCTTTTTTTGTTTCTTTTTTTTTTTTTTTAAAGGAAAGAATTGTGACAGAATGCCTAACAGCAAATATTTACGAGCAAACACTGGGCGTTCTCATTTCTCATCAGCAAACAGTTAAATTGAAGCAAGACAGTACAGTTTATTGGTTCATAGACATGTGACTTCTAGTGACTAAACTAGGGTTTTAAAGCTTATTTCAGATATTGTATCTGTCTTGTTTCCATGAAACAAATGATGATAGCAAAAGCATGTTCTCCCTGTTACAGTTATGCACATGGAGAGGATTTTTAGTTGAGTATCTCCTCTCACTACTTTCCAGCCAGCATTTCTAGAATTCACCCCCATAAAATCCTGTTGTGGGTGTGTTAGGGATTTTGCAATTCTGCAATTTTGATAAATTCTTGATTTTGATCAGATCTGAGGCAAAACATTTTGTCTGACTTTCAAGGAGGAATAGTCACTACTGTAAATAACAATAACATTTTATATTTTACCTGGAACAACAGTTCAAAAAGAACATAAGCCTTAACTTCAGAACACAAAACCCGATACCATATATGGTTAGGAAGATCTCAGCTGCATTGTTGTGTTAGCACATAAGAATCCATCAGTAGGTTTCTTGGTGGTTTTCTTGGTTACATAAGAACACTAGTCAGACAAATCATACAAAAATATTGCTGAACAGATTATACAAAAAAATAAGTATGCTTTCTGATTGGTAGGCATTGAAATGATAATACCATAAATTGTGTTTTGCTGTGTATTAAATTTGATTCTTTGTATCTCGGTAAGGCATATTTGGTGTGAAAATTTCCTGTTTGGAATACAGAAGATACTTTAACAGTAGTTACAGTAAATGTGTGCAGGAGGTGATTATGTACATATCATGGAAAGCACACCATTGCCCATGAGAATTCCTTAATTCCACAGGATCCTTTAAAATGTCAGTGACTGTCCTGAATGGAGCCTCTGTTTCTCACAGGGGAAAAGGCCGTTCTTAGGCATTTCGGGAAGTTAAATTTGATACTGTCTTTGTCTGACGGTGCTACACAAATCTGTTTATGGTAAGCCCCATACGTTATAACTGTAACTGCTGGTGTGCTGTGTCTCTGCAGGGCAGTAAAGCCAGGGGTCCACTGGACAGTTCTGGTGCTGTGGATTTGGACAGCCCCGCGGCCAGTACCTTGAGTAGCACAAGTAAAGTAAGTGACGCCTGGGGGGAAACGTATTCCAAAACTTCAGATAATGTTCCCTGAAACAACTAGTCAGATGTGAAATATGGCTACCAACTGCTCGTATAACTGCTCTGTTCTAACATCTTGCATTTTGTCATGATTATTTTTGGGGAGTAGACAAGCTAACTGATTGTGTGCGGGGGG